TCACAAGAACTAGATGATCTCAAGAACAACATCGAATATGGTTGTAGTGATCCAAGGATGCATCCTCTTCATCAAAACAAAACAGAAGAAGCCTCAAAAGAAGCAGAAAGAAGGATTGATGACGATTTTGGAAACCTGACAAAGGTACTTCAATCTTATGTTGAGGACCACAAGGTCTTGCCTTATTGTATGATCTTGCACAGCTTGGCTTACAGATATTTAGGTGGAGGCCTACTAGACCCAACATACAGAGATGATGAATTTCCATACAGATCCTCTCCACAGATTACAATGATGTTTTGGAATTTGGGAAACTGGTGCAGAAACAGATTTGAAAAATGCCCTGTCCCAGAAAGATTTCAACAATTCATTCCACACATTGATTACAGTATTGATGAAGAACATGAAAAATTTGATGAGAACAAGACCCAGTTCAACAATTACTTCATCAACGTCATCAAGAACTTTTGTGGACATCTTTTCATGAATTGCGAAGCTGGTTCACTATATCCTCACAGAGAAAGACTCGAAGAGGTGCAGTTTAAAACTTGCTTCAATGACTATCATGACTTGATGGTGGCAGCTCGCATAGGAAAGGACGGCAGTATCAGGCAAATTGCTGGATATCACACAGACGACAACGACACACGAGTTCGACAAGTCTCATGGGCAATCTTTGAAGTATCTTGGGGAAAGACAAAGGACCGTGATACAGATAAGATTATTGACTTGACACGAGCCAGGATGAAGATGACACGTGTGTGCGTTTTTCACGTTGGACAAAAATATGCATCAGACTCTCCTGGTATTGTTGGTGAGTGTTTAGCTGTTATGGCTTTTGAGTGTGCTAGATATCAAGTTGACGTCATCGCAGGTGATGGAAACAAGGCATGCTATTACACCACACCAAAATCTCCAGGTGTCCCTACATATCAACACAGTCTAATCCAATTCTGGATTAACAGAATGATGGGTGCTGCAACACAAGCCCTACGCAAGAATTTTGATTCAACATACCCCCCAGTCAGGGTCAAACATTTCATTTCTTGCAGTTACCGGGATCTTGATTTTCTTGCAACGCACTTGGATGGCATTACAACAGTTTCATATACCGACGAGCTCGTGAAGAAGACATCGGGCAAAGGTGATTGTTGTATGCTGACAGTTGTTGAGTGGGGTCATTCACGTCTGGTGTGTGAGGAATACCCTGAATACTATGAAGATGAAGATCAAATGAACTATGTGGGTGAATTTTACTTCAAGGTAAATGAAACTTGCTTACATGGTGATCACAACATCTTTATGGTTGCTCCAAATGATCGTGATGCTCACAATCCAATTCTTGTCCATCTAGATCCTTCGGACATGTCGTGGAATGAACGACATCATTACAAACAAGCTAACCAGAAAATGAAGTATGCCGCTTCAGGAAAGGCAGAAGGAGAAAAAGAGAAAGGCATATGAAGATCAAGCATCAACGTATCAGGGCAACACTGGTTGGGGTGGATCCTCATCTTCTTCGTCCAGACCATGGAGACAAAGTGATTGGCGATGAGTGAGTGTATACTTCTTTAAATGAAGATAACACAGCATGAGAGGCCGTGTACAGTTTTTCTGTGCATCAACTTATTTCCACAAGATGGCATACACTCTTTTAGATAGAGACAATGCCACAAGTGTCCGAATTTCAATTTAATGTAAAATAGATACTCTTGTAAATAGAGATACTATACACATTTATCTCCATGAAACTTTCTGCGAGCAGACCACTCCGAATGGAGCGAACTCCAAAATTTACTAACTTCGATTTCTGTCCATTGTTCGCTTGAATGAGCAACTTTGGAGATCCGCTATTTCCGTTTATTTCGTGATTTGGTCAATTGTTTTTCGTATGACCGGAATTTCTGAATCTTGCGAACCGAACTTTTCAATTCGAACTTTCACCGGTAGAGCAAGGCATTTTGCCTGTGGAGAGACCGTGCGCGAAGCACCATTGGTCGCTACTGGAAAAATTAGCGAATCCGCTGTTCTTTTTCGGCATGTCTTTAGGACATTCGCTGCTTTCACGTGTTTTTCAATTCGAAGCCACTGCGTAACTCCGGTTTATTTTTGCTATTTGCCATTGTGTAGAAAAGACAGGAAGATACTCTTAATACCAATTGGGTACGACAAGGCGTAGTGCTCTACTCATTGCTTTTGAGTTTGTGCCTGTGTTTTTGTTTCGACCTAATACCTACAGAGGTACATGCATGAGTATTGAGCACATTTATATGGGCCCTTCAAGGCTCAAGAGGTATACAGAGTAACCCTGTGGACAAGCACTGACCGGCAACAGGCTGAGAGTAAAAGGTGCTGTCATTGGGGAAGACGCCTTAGCTGATCTTGAAGTAGACGCTAGGGCCCCTCTTCAGCCCTCCCCCCCAATCCCCCCCCTCCCGTTTTTTTCTAATTTAAATTCAAACTTGCACACATTTCAATACACTAGTTTGGGTAGACTATATATATATATTGTATATATATATATATTGTATATATATATATTGTATATATTATATTGTATATATATACATATGGTTGTTTATATACACAGCTTTCATCAGCTTTCATCCCAAAATAAACTGTAAATAATCATGTGCATGCATATGCGGCCACATAAGTATAGTTATTTGTATGTACATGTTGTATCCCTAAATAACCCCTAATCCAGCCCTAAACAAACCCTAAACAGAGCCTAAACCAGCCCTAAAGAAACCTTAGAACCAACCCTAAATAGACCTTAAACAAATCTAGAATAAACCATAAACCAACCCTAAATAAACCCTAAAACCGAACCCTGCAGATATATTAATTACACTTGTAAATGCATTGATCTACATATATGCATGCATTGATCTACATATGCATATAGTCATGATTAGTCATGCATGTATACCTCTATACATCTACAGTTTGTAGTTTGCACATAATGTATATATCTCCAAAAATCAATGAACACTTCGGAAAAAACAATGAAAACAATGTAAAAATCAATGAACAATTTGGAACAATGAATGAAAACCAGTAAAAATGAATGAACACCATACAAAAATTGAAGAAAACCATAGAAAATTCGATTGACAAATGGAAGAAAACCACGGAACAATCGAAGAAGACCATAGAGCAATTGAAGAAAACCATGGAAAAATTGAAGAATACTATGGAAAAATTGACGAATACTATGGAAAATTGACGAAAACCATGGAAAAATCCATGAACATCTTGGAAAATTCCATGAAAATCATGGAAAAATCAATGGAAACCATGGAAGACTCGATAAACACCATGGAAAATTCATGAAACCACTGGAAAAATTGACGAACAGTGCGAATGAGAGATTTTAGCTACAAAATGCAGCAAATAAGAGATTTTAGCTGCAAAAACCAAGGAAGGGAGCCTGGACGACCAAAAAAAAAAATTGCCCCCCCCAAAAATGCCAACTTAATTTCGCGCCCCTTTACATTTTACACTGCGCACTTTACCCTTTACAGTTCACACTGCGCGCTTTACACTTGACACCCCGCACTCTACACTTTACACTTTACAGTTTGCACCCTACACTTTACACTCCACACTCTACAGTGTGCACTCTACACTTTACACTTTACAGTCTGCACCCTACACTTTACACTTTACACTCGACACTGCGCGCTCCCACAATCCCACTTCATACCCTTCACATAATTGCCCACTCAACACTCCATTGTTTTCAATGTCTGAAGTTCTCCACACTCTGCGCTCCACCCCGTTTCGCACTCCACAGTCTACACTTGTACGGGAACAGAGGGGAAATGTACAAAACTGTTGACATATTTAATTGTTTCACAAACGTGTTGTACATGACTAAATTCATGTTCGTTGGTTTCTCTCATTTTTTGCTTTTTGCGAAAGCCAGCCGGACAAGCTGGCTGGTTGTTTTTTGCGAAAATAGTGAGAGATTAGGGGTCTGGGGGGAGGTGTTGCCAAACAGGTCCGTTTTTCCAGTCCCAGTTGGTGTTCAGGGTGTCAACTGGGAGTGTTTTGCAGGGTAGTGTACCAGGTCGCAAATGGGTGACGGTGGGTATCGATTCCCCCTGGTCCGTGAATTTGGGGTTAAATAGGTAGACAAATGCTAGGGCTAAATAAGTAGACAAATAGATCCATACAGGCAGATAATAGATGGATGGAGAGTAGACCGAGAGAGGAATGCTATAGAGAGAGAGAGAGATAGAGAGAGAGAGAGAGATAGATAGATAAATAGATAGATAGATGGCTAGACAGATTGATAGATAGATAGACAGACAGATAGATAGATAGATAGATAGATAGATTTAGATAGATTTAGATAGATTTAGATAGATTTAGATAGATTTAGATAGATTTAGATAGATTTAGATAGATTTAGATAGATTTAGATAGATTTAGATAGATATAGATAGATCGATAGATAGATAGATCGATTAGATAGATAGATTAGATAGATTAGATAGATCGATAGATAGATAGATAGATGGATAGATAGATTTAGATTTAGATTTAGATTTAGATTTAGATTTAGATAGATAGATTTAGATTTAGATTTAGATTTAGATAGATAGATAGATAGGATAGATAGGATAGATAGGATAGATAGGATAGATAGGATAGATAGGATAGATAGGATAGATAGGATAGATAGGATAGATAGAATAGATAGAATAGATAGGATAGATAGGATAGATAGGATAGATAGGATAGATAGGATAGATAGGATAGATAGGATAGATAGGATAGATAGGATAGATAGGATAGATAGGATAGGATAGATAGGGATATGGATAGGATAGATAGATAGGATAGAAAGATACGATAGATAGATAGGATAGATAGGTTTAGATTTGTTAGAAAGGATAGATAGGATAGATAGGATAGATAGGGTTTTCATTATGAGAGCTGGCTTTCGTTCCCCCCTTCTCAGGTGATTTTTTTGATGTCGGCAAAGCTGCATGGCAAATGCTTGTCGAGATTCTGAGCCTCAGGATTTGGCAACTTGGAAATTTGCACGGTGGGCAGAGTCCATTTGCATCCTGAGCCCTGTCGAGCAAGATGGATCTCACGATGTCACTCAGATGAATTATCCATTTTGCGCTTGCCAATCGATCAGTCTACCAGATTGCCTATGTTTTTGCCTAGGTGAGCAAAATTGAGAGCAAGATGAACATTAACAAAGCTTTGGACAAGGTCTGATTTTACCATGTTTTCTTTGCTTCATCAGACAGTGGATCCTCCTGTTGTGTGCTGACAAGTAGACTTGGGCACGAAACAGTAGATGATTTTCAAACCAAAACTGTGATCCTGCCAAGAGCCTCTCCTGCTTGCAATGGTCCCTCATTTTGAGCAGAGTTTTATTGAACGCAACAACCCATTGGCTACATTTGGCTACCCTCTATCCTTTGCTCCAAAGTCCTGAGTGTTCCAAAATCCTTGCGACAATTTGTGATTTGTGTAGCAGAGATGCTGAATGTGCGCGTTTGAAAAGTTGGGGAAGGGTGGTGCCACGACGCTGTTCAACAGGAGTGGGAAGGGTGGGCAATGTCCTTCCTTCTGGATGCACCATTGTCGGCCTTTGCAGGCTCAGGGTTTGTGTTCCACGCTCCTGTTTGACTTCTTGCGTTTATCTATATATAAGCCAACAACCATGTGCCTTGGCAGGCTTGACTCCAGCCAAGGATCCCATCTTCGAGTCAATAGGCTTGACATGCATTAAAGATCTTGGAGAATGGAAATACTATCGACGCTTCCGTTTGAATTATTCACGTGGGCTGCACATGTGCTACAACTGCACAAACTGTGCACAAGCTGCTCTTTGTGGCACTTCTGAAACGTGCAAATGCCAAGGATGGGCAAAGGCCATTTGCGCGCTTGCAGAAGTTGAGAGTGAGAATGGTTCATCCTAATCTTCCAGGTTTGGAGCGTTAGGGCCTGGTTTTAGTTTCCGAGGGCAAAATGCCTTTCATTTCAGCCGGACTGCGCTGATAACGCAACCTGAAACATAGCAAACCGATGCAAACCGCAAGCAGTCCAAAGCTTGGGATAGTGGCATTATTGCACAGCAGGGAGGCTGTGTTTTGTTCCTACTTGGAGATGTTGAGAGTGATGCGCAAAGATTGGGCCAAGGATAAGTTGAGGCCCCAGGTTCAAATGAAAGCTTCTCGATGCCTTTTCTCTGACTTGATTCTTGTCTCGTGACCTTTTGTGCTTGTTGCGCTTTGCTTCAGCCAGCTCAGCACAGACTCCACTACCGTTTGGTGGTGGCACCACACATGTGGGAGACACCGTGATGATTGGAACTGCCAACTAACTAGCATTACAGAAACTGGCTTGGACGTGTGTAAGTTTACCCCTGCATGGAAGTCATCGTAAGCGCATCAGCAATTTTCGGACGAGCAATGTGACCAGCCATGGCGATCCAACCAAAATGAGCGCTATAGGCTGGCCATCTTCGCTTGTGTTTTTCAGGTGGCCGATGATTTTCCAGTACGAAGCTATGGTACGTTTATTCGGGCTGATTAGGCTGAAAGCTAGTCTCCTGATCAGGGAGGAATTGCCAACGAACAAAGGCATTTTTTCATGAAAGGAGGAATTAGGTGTTTGAACTGGGCAACATCGAACCAGCTTTTTGTTTGCATATGATTTTCTAGGCCCCGCCTGCCGGAATTCCCTGGTTGCCGGAAGAACAGCTGTAGAAACCGGGCTGTCTGTCCCACACCCATTTTGTAGACACTGAGGGGGTATGCGCCCCATTTCGTAGTATAAACAAGGGGTGCATAACCCTTCCACCGTTTTGTAAGAAGAACTTGGTGGCCAGACCGTTTTGTAAGCAGAACTTGGTTGCTTGACCGTTGTGTAAGCAGAACCTTGACATCGCCATTGTAAACCAAAGCCCCTTGACCACAAAGTGCCTCAACCGAATAAGCTTCAGTTGAACCACTTCGCAGATTCTCCTGTTTGTTTTTTTTTCCACTTTTATTCTTTTCCGACTATTGGCCGGACAACAAGGGGCATGCCTGCATAGCCTCATTGCCTGATTAGCTTTCGTCCCCTTCCCTACGGCCTCAAGTTTTGTTAAATGTTAGGTGTACATTCATATACACCGCATACACACCGCCTTTGAACCTTTTTCGAGTTTGCATTGCCTTGTGAAGTCCTGGCCGGGGCTCCCAAATCAGTCACTTGCCTCAGGTGCAGGGGGGAGACATCCAGTGCACAGGACCAGCCCCATAAAACAGTTGAGCAGATTTGGGTACAATCGCCCTGGTCGCTTTGCTGTTGGCCTGAAGAACAGCTTGACTCCGAATGCAATTGCAGTACCCTCTGTTTGCCCGTGTAGCAGCACATTTCGCAAGACCCAACTTGTCAGGACGTGGCCTTTGTGAAAGACTCCGTGGTCTTGGTCTTCAACGCATCACGTCTGCACGCATCTTTGGATTTCGAAGTTTTGCTTGTGTGCACTGGCAGCTGCACGTGTTGTCACTGTGACACCAATAAATCCCATGACAGGTGTTGAGGCCACGATGCCATGAAGTTTCAGCTGAGGCTTGCTACGTGCCAAGCCACCAAGCAGTGATGCTTGCACTTTGGCAAACCCTGGGATGGGTTTGGCACGAACGTCATGCACGATGACCTCAAATCTATCCATGTATTTTCAATCTTCAGGTTCCCAGTCCTCTTTGCTCTCCTTTGATGTGACTCAGCACTCATTTCGGTAGATAGCAGGTCCAGGTGGCCTGGCCTGGGACAAGTTGGTCTGGGAAGAGATGCCCATCTTCGATTTCTCAGGCATTGTATCTCCATACTGATTCAGTGGGCTTGTCGGTTTTTATACTTCATGTTCTCTTGTGTATTGATATGATCCAATGTCTTGTTTTTACCGCCAGCCAGTAGGATGCAGTACCTTTGCTGCTGAAAGGTTGCCTGCAGGCCCTTGAACACCCAGACTCATCAGCTCACGGTTCACAGTACATGCCTTAATCTGTTGCATAGTTAGCATATAGTTAGTTTGAGGCAGCGGTGCAAGTTCAAGCGCGTTCAGAAAAGAACAACGAATCCCATTTACCTCAACAATTATCAAGCTTTATTGACTTCTTAAACGAGGCTCTTGCAGAGTGATTACTCTCGGCCGGCTTTTGATACCGCTTGAACGGTCATGAATCTACTATAATCTACTGCATTTTTTTTGCAGTTGGGCTCTGGGCCCTTGTCGTTTCTGCGCCATCGGTAATTCGACGGGGAGAGACACGACACTGTTGTGTGATTTCAAATTTGGCCCTTGACAATGCAAAAAACGCACAAAAACGGTAGATCAAGGCATTTCCGGAACAAACAAAATCAACAACTTATAGTAGAGCGGTCAACACAAATCGAGCAATAAGAACTCGCCATCGGCAATTGATGGTTTGAAAGTTCCTTTGGGGTGTTTGGGATCGATGAGCAGCCGGCAAAACACCGATGTCATTCATGGCGTGAAGTCAAAGACAGACTAGATGACGAGATGAGTTCATGTTCGCAGACTGATTCTTGCTAAAAAGACCTGATAGCATGTCACGTCCTCTAAAGTTGGAAAGGAAACTGCCTTGGTTGCCACGTTAATTCGGCAATCTCTCCATTGTATTTTCACCTGTGATTGCGATGTTGCGGTGATGCTTTGTGTCTTGCTGGCTGGGCTGGCTGGACTTGCTTGCTTCGGGCTGGTCGGGATTTGTTAGTCAGCCTGCCTTCGCTAGGTGTGTGGCACAAAAGGCAGCATTGCTGGCCCCGTGTGCAGGTTTCGGCCTACCACACGCCTGGCGGGGGTGGGGGTGGGGTCTCGCGGTTGACCGTGCAGGAGGGCCACCCAGCGATCTGGGGACGGCTTGTGTGGACCATCTTGGCAGCGCCCGTGGGGGGAACCTTCGGGTGAACCTTTTGAGGAAGCTTTGCTTCCGCGGCCTCAAGATGGTGAGTGCTGGGCCTCTTTTTATTGGCGGGGCCGGACACACTCGCAAGAACCGGGGAGGGTGTGCCGGACTCACGGTGAGTGAGCTTGGCCTAAGCCTTCTTTCATTTTCCGGCTGGACCGTTGCGAGCAAGTCTAGTCGGGCTGGCCGGTGGGACGCAAACAAAAGGCGTGGCGGCGAGCAGGGTTTCTGAAGTTTCTTCTTTTGGGCCATTGGTTCATTTCAACTTTTGAGTTTCTTATAAGCGCTGCAATTTTGTTAGTTTTTTTGCGCGGACGTAAGCTTGCGGCCAACTTCTTGGAACCTTTCCCTGATATCAGCCCCCAAAGAATGTACTGTGACACTGGCCCCCGAGCGCTGTCAAGCGTCCCTCAAAAAACAATGACTCACAAGATCTTGCGAATCATTCTGCGCAATGGTCCTGAAACATGCATTGAAACGGCTTGCCAACTTTATCGTTTGACTAGATGCCGGATTTTTTGTTGAGACAAGTTCCCAAGCCCATGTGGCGAGATGTTTTCCATGTTGTTTGAGCGCATTTTCAGAGCTGAGCTGCGTGCATGATATGGACGGCCCATTTCTGTTTTGTTTTTCTTGCAAGTAGATTCAATGAACAACTCTACAAATGAAATAGATTGCCCACTTCATTGTTTTGATTTGATGCCGCCATTTTTTGTTGAGAGAGGTTCCCAAACCCATTTTGAGAATTTGCCCATTCGGTTTTTAACATCGGGTGTTCATGGGTGCTCCATGTTGTTTGAACCCATCTTCAAAGCTGCATAGTGTTTGTGAAATAGAGAAATAGATGGCCCATTGCGTGTCATACGATGGCGCCCCCGCGTCCTTACTTTGTGAAAAGATTGCCAATGTTGCCGTTTTGAGTTGAAGCCACCATTTTTTGTTGAGGCAAGTTCCAAAACCCATGTTGTGAGACAGATTGCCCATTTGGTTGTTCAACAGCGGGTGTTCCATGTTGTTTGAACGCATTTTCAGAGCTGAGCTGCGCGTGTGTGAGATTGACAGCTCATTTCTGTTGTGAAACTGCGCCCTAAGTTTTTTGCAAGTATATTCAACGGAAAACTCCATGAAATAGACTTCATTGTTTTGACTTGATGCCGCATTTTTTGTTGAGAGAGGTTCCCTTTGTGAGACTTTGCCCATTTGGTTTTTAACATCGGGTGTTCCCCGTTGTTTGAATGCATGTTCAGAGCTGAGCTGCGTGCGGGAGGTGGAGGCCCCATTTCCGTTCTGTTTTTTTGTGTGCAATAGATTCGATGAACAACGCCGTGAAATAGATTGCGCACTTTGCTGTGTTGAGTTTATGCTGCCATGCTTGTTGAGACAAGTTCCCAAACCCCGTCAGACAGGTCGCCCTTTTCGTTGTTAAACAGCGGGTGTTCCATGTTGTTGAGCTGAGCCGAGTGTGCGTGAGTTAGACACCCATTTCTATTACGAAAAGGCGCCCAATTTTTTGGCAAGTAGATTTAAAGAAAAACCTCCGCCAAATAGATTGCATACTTTGTTGATTCGAGTTCTTGCTACCAGTTTTGTTGAGTCAGGTTCCCAAACACATGTTGTGAGACAGGTCGCATATTTGGTTGTTAAAGAGCGGGTGTTCCATGTTGTTTGGACGCATTTTCAGAGCTGAGCTGCGTGTGTGAGATGAATGGCCCATTTCTGTTCGAAAAAGGCACCCCCGAGTTAATAGATTGGGCACCCTTTTTGTCATGAGTTGATGCCCCCATTTCTTGATGAGACAGGTTCCCAAACAAATTTTGTGAGATAGGTCCCCCACTCGGTTGTTAAACATTGATTGGGTCTGGCATGGTGTGGAAAAACGTTTTCAGAGTCAGTTGTGAGATACATGGCTCATGTTTGTGTCAAGAGACCAAGCCTCCAAATTTTGTGTAGGCAGATTCCAAAAACATGTTTGTCAGAATTTGTCAAATATTTTGCTCACTTCCTTGCTTTGAGTTCAGGCCCGCCTGCTGTGTCATAAGATGGCGCCCCTGCGTCTTTGCTCTGTGAAAAGATTGCCAATGTTGCGGTTTTGAGTTGAAGGCATCTTTTTTGTTGAGACAAGTTCCAAAACCCATGTTGTGGGACAGATTGCCCATTTGGTTGTTCAACAGCGGGTGTTCCATGTTGTTTGAACGCATTTTCAGAGCTGAGCTGCGCGTGTGTGAGATTGACAGCTCATTTCTGTTGTGAAACTGCGCCCTAAGTTTTTTGCAAGTATATTCAACGGAAAACTCCATGAAATAGACTTCATTGTTTTGACTTGATGCCGCATTTTTTGTTGAGAGAGGTTCCCTTTGTGAGACTTTGCCCATTTGGTTTTTAACATCGGGTGTTCCCCGTTGTTTGAATGCATGTTCAGAGCTGAGCTGCCTGCGGGAGGTGGAGGCCCCATTTCCGTTCTGTTTTTTTGTGTGCAATAGATTCGATGAACAACGCCGTGAAATAGATTGCGCACTTTGCTGTGTTGAGTTTATGCTGCCATGCTTGTTGAGACAAGTTCCCAAACCCCGTCAGACAGGTCGCCCTTTTCGTTGTTAAACAGCGGGTGTTCCATGTTGTTGAGCTGAGCCGAGTGTGCGTGAGTTAGACACCCATTTCTATTACGAAAAGGCGCCCAATTTTTTGGCAATTAGATTTAAAGAAAAACCTCCGCCAAATAGATTGCATACTTTGTTGATTCGAGTTCTTGCTACCAGTTTTGTTGAGTCAGGTTCCCAAACACATGTTGTGAGACAGGTCGCATATTTGGTTGTTAAACAGCGGGTGTTCCATGTTGTTTGGACGCATTTTCAGAGCTGAGCTGCGTGTGTGAGATGAATGGCCCATTTCTGTTCGAAAAAGGCACCCCCGAGTTAATAGATTGGGCACCCTTTTTGTCATGAGTTGATGCCCCCATTTCTTGATGAGACAGGTTCCCAAACAAATTTTGTGAGATAGGTCCCCCACTCGGTTGTTAAACATTGATTGGGTCTGGCATGGTGTGGAAAAACGTTTTCAGAGTCAGTTGTGAGATACATGGCTCATGTTTGTGTCAAGAGACCAAGCCTCCAAATTTTGTGTAGGCAGATTCCAAAAACATGTTTGTCAGAATTTGTCAAATATTTTGCTCACTTCCTTGCTTTGAGTTCAGGCTACCATATGTGTTGCGACAGGTTCATGACTTTGCTATCAAAGGAAGCGCCAACTCTTTTTTAGGTAGATTCCAAAGACCGCTTTGTGAAATAGATTGCCCCCTTCATTGTTTTGAAGGGAGGCCCCAAACTTTTTAGGGGACGGGCTTCCAAACTGATTCTGCGAGATAAGTCACCCAACTTGGTCCTGGAGGAGGCCCCCAAGTTTTGCACATCTTTGCGAAGCAGATGTCAGATAGCCAAACCCAGTCTGTCAGATAGGCCACCCAACTCTGCTTTTGCTTCCAGAATGTATGATGAAGGGTTCCCGTTTACCTTGGGGTTCTGGGGGTCGGATCGTGTTTGTTTGCTCAATGTTGTTTGTGCGTTTGCAACCGTTTGCGAGCCAAGCTGCTCAGCATCGACAATGGCGGTTTGCTGGTTCACCATCGGCCACTTGCTGAGTATAATTACGGAAACCACCCGGCAAGCTAGGCTGAAGTTATTATCGCGAACATAGTGCGCTTAAGGGGTCTCGGGGCAGACCTGACCAATTGGAACCCGAAAATAGGTGGCGTGGAGCGTGCCTAAATGGGCAAGTTTTGCGGGTCATGTACCGTGTCGCAATTTAGTGACGGTGGGGTATCGGTTCACCCATCGTCCGGCTCTTGGGGCTGTAGACAAGGATTCAACGAGATTTGACCTGGAAAGCATGTAGAGACACAAAAATGGAGATCTTGAGTGCATTAGGGAGATCTTAGGTATATAGAATATTCCTGCCTTCTGAAATCACGTAGATACAGGACAACGATGGTGAGAACGCGGCGATATTCAAATATGTATACTTGCTTTTTGAGACGATTGAGACGCCATAAAAACAATGATGAGAACCCAGCTATATTCAATATGCTCGCCTTTTGAGGGCATTGAGAAGCCATAAAGACGGTGATGAGAACAGATGTAGAGACACAAAAATGGCAACCGTAGGTATATTGTGGAAATCTTAGGTATATTGAATATCCCTGCCTTCTGAGACCATGTAGATACATGAAAACGATGGTGTGAACGCGGCTATATTCAATATAGTTGCTTTTTGAGACTATTGAGACGCAAAAAAAACGGTGATGAAAACCCAGCTATATTCAATGTACCTGCCTTTTGAGAGCATCTAGAAGCCAAAAAAACGGTGATGAGAATTCAGCTATATTGAATATACTTGCCTTTCGGGACCATTGAGACGCTATAAAGACGGTGATGAGAACCTATCAATCTTCAATATACCTGCTTTCCTTCTGAGACATTTAGACATACAAAAACAGAGATGAGAATCCAGGTCGCA